GTTTCATACACCCTTTGCTTGGTGACCATGAGATGGGAGATGTCAATGTTAGACATTTTTTGGGGAAAAAACTTAGCTCGGAAGAGGGAGAGGGCGGTAAATTCCTCAAAGTTGTGGATTAACCCATTATGTAGGTGGATGTCTCATTGAAATGCTATACCCATAGGGTGGCAAGAAAGAGTTTGCACATGGTAGCATTAGAAGTCCCGCATTTGGAAATTAGGAGGATTAGGTTGCTCGAGGATGGTTTGAGCGAGTGATCTTCTTGTCCTGGATCTCCAAGAATACTCAGGGTGAAATGAACTTCTAGGTAAGATAGATCTTGTTGTTTGGGAGGGTGAGGTAGTTTCCTCAACGGAAGGTTGTGTGACAGTTTCTTTGTCTTGACTGTCCTTGGATGGTCGGGAGTATTCGGATTCCATCACAAATAAAGAGTTGTTATCAAGTACCCTTCAAGACTTTACTTTGGGGCCCACAATGGACACCAATTTTTGATGTTGGGGTTTCAACCGACGTCGATTTATTTTATCTTGGGCACCGATGCGGCTTGAAGTGCCCCTTCATCATAACCTTTCTTCGTGGTGTTGCCTCCAATCGTTTCCTGCAAAAAAGGTCTCGTCGGGCGATCTCGGTGAGGGCACCCTCCGACGCTCAAGTTAGTCTCTTGTCCGGGGGATAGAATAGTTCACAAGATGTTTGCGGGAGGTGAGCCCAGGAGATGAGAGTTAGTGATGGAAAAGGGTGCTCTCAGGGTACTACCCCCGGTCTCTTGCCTTACCTTCGACTAGAGACAAGAACTTGTTATATAGTGTTGATCTAGGAGACAAAATGAGGATGTGTGTCAGTGCCGGGGTAAACATGGACACGTCACAGGGGACGTGTCGCTAAGGTTTGTTCGTACCCGCCACGTGGTTGTACGCTTGTCAACCATGCATTTGCTAAATGGGTACACTCTTGCCACATGGAGACTGGGTATGGAGAGGAGATGCCTCATATGTAAGTTAAGAGCCAAGTAATGGATATGAGTTCAAGAAGAAGGGCAGAGAAGGGGGACCGAGCGATGGGTGTAATGGTTGTGATGAGCCATCGGTGGGCGTAGGGCGGCGGGCACAATGGTAGTCGAGTTACAAAGTTGCACCGATGGGCATCGCGAGCCGAGCAGGAGGTCGACCCCGGACGCCGAGGCAATAGTGCGCCGGAGAGTACTGGGAGTCGAGCGGGAGGAGTAGTCTCGGCGTCGGGGGAAAAATCGAGACTGGGGAAATAGTGCGTCGGCGGGTACCCAGAGTCGAGGGCGATGGTGAGCCCGGGCATCAGGATCCAGACGGGAAGAGGAGTCTCGGCATCGGGTGCAAAATCGAGCCCTGGGAAATAGTGCACCGGCGGGTACCGAGAATGTAGGGCGATGGTGGGCCCGGGCGCTGGGAGCCAACGAGAAGAGGAGTCTTGGCGCTGGGGGAAAAATCAAGCCCGGGAACAATAGTGTGTCGGTGAGTACCTGAAGTCGGGGGCAATAACGGGCCCAAGAGTCGGACGAAAGGAGGAGTACGGGCGCCGGGGGCAAAATAACTCAGGGGAAATAGTGTACCGATGGGTACCAGGAGCCGGGAGAGAGGTGAAGTCGGGTGCTGAGGGCAATAGTGCACTGGAGGGAGTCGGGCCTCGGATTCGGGTTGAATGATGCATCGCTGTGGGTCAGGCGCCAGAAGGAGGCATGAGACCGGTGGAGATAGCAAGGTGCGGTAGTGGACCCAGATGCAATGATGCACCAGTGGAGAGAGCCGGGGCGCCAACCCAAGTGCTATGATGCACCAGCAGGAGCCGGGCGGAGGGAGGAGCCTGTTACCTAGGGAAATCGTGAGCCAATGTATGATTTTTTGTTGCCAGGCGCCAATTGTCGGGGGTCATGGTGGACCCGGAAACCATGGAAATATTTTCTTATGTTGGGTATATTTGACCTATATGTCAAAAAAAAAAATATGTAGGTACTAAATTTCAAAATTTATTAACTTTAAGTGTAATGTTGTAATTTGCATATGGGTATGGGTACAAACTCAAATTCATGAATTATAAATCCAATTAAAATAAATGAATATGAATATAAATTCACGAAACCCACGGATTTGAGCAACATTGACTTTTTTTATATATATTACATTTTGTGATTAGATACTACTAAATGGATTCGAAATTTGTGGTATTACCGCTAGATAAAATAATACAATCATTAATGGAAAGTTCCTACTTGGGATCCAGCGTTGGAAGGGTGGACATAAGTTAATAGGATGGGTCGGTGAAAATCGAAACCTCAACCGCTGCAGTTGGAGGAATAATTCGCAATCTTCTCGGGAGAAGCAAGGGGATGAGATACGGTCACAACCCTCTTAGAGAGTTGTGAGATTGACAACCCAATCATTCTCCCTCCCATATAAATAAATAAAAAACCCTAACTCCTCCCTCTCCCCCTTCTCCCTCTCTCCCTCCTCTCTCTCATTCTCCAGCAGACGGCACCGCCGATGCCACCACGTCGCCCTCCGCCTCCCTCCACCCCCTGCCGACTCCGTCGTGCCTCCTTTACTTGCCTCTTCCAGTGTGCGTCCCTCTACCACTATATTCTTTCTCTCCTCCCTTTCGTTTTTAAGATCTGTGATTTTTGAATTTTCAGATCTAGTTTTTTTTTCTAGTGGTAGTGATTTTCTTTTGGTATTAGTATAATTTGGTAACACTACCATGTGGTACCTGGTAGTGGTACGCTACTACTATCAACTACCAGATGGTAGTGGGAGCGCTGTAGTGGTAGTGGTAGTGGTAGTAGTAGCGTACCACTAGCGCACTGACGGATTGGTAATTTTTTGCAGTTGGTCGGAGCGAGTCTAATTCAAGGATTTCGCTGAAAAAAGTCTGTCGGTCGGAAAGTCAGCCGGTCGAAATGGAGTGGCTGCTAAAAAAGGAAGAGAGAGAGTTGTATTTATTGTAGGATTTAAATTTTAAAAAACATGTATTTAATTTGGGTTTTTTAATTCACAATCTGTAATTAATACAAAAAAAATTAACTAATAAATTCATTTTTTTCATACCCAAAATCATTAAAAAAATTTCATACCCAAAATACCCTTAGTTATGAATCTCACAACCCCCTTAGAGGAAGTGACTGTATCCCGCCCCAGAAGCAAGGGGAACTTGTGTGGCGAATTATGGTCGATGTATGATCACGGCTGCAGAATTATGAGGATGATGAATTATGATGTTATGAAGATCACCGAACCCCGCTTTATTAATATATAGGTTAGGGTGTCCAATGCACCTTTCTTTTTACCAAAAGAATAGGGTAAATTGCAAGTTTGGTCACTGACTTTATTAAAAAGTGTCATGTTTAGTCACTTGAAATATTTATTTCTAATATTGGTCACTCGAATTAGTAAAACGGTCCACGTTTAGGCACTCTCTGTTAACACTGTCAGTCAATTGCTGATGTGGCTAACAGAAGTGCTGACTCACCCAATTTTAACCTGCCACGTCAACAAACCCGACCCGCCACATCACTCAACCCGCCACCTCAGTTTCCCCAACCCAACCCATAAGCTAACCCTTCCAAACTCATGACTAGATCCGATAAAAGTCGATTCTTCCCTTCTACCCCCCATCTCCGCCAGGGAATCCGCCACATAGTAGCCGGTTCAATCAAACAGGCCTAAACAAAATCACTACATGGGTCGGAAGACCAAGAAGGTAAGAGATTTGAAGAACAAATAGAATTAATCAACTAAAAACAGTGAAGGAATAATTCTCGCTACTTAATGCATTTTCTCCTCATTTTCTAGGGAAACATAGATAAAACAGGGAAGCTGTTAAGAACCAGTTGATTCTAATAACTCGAGTTGTTGGCAGAGGTTCAATTGTGGATCATATACAGTTTACTAACACACCCCCTCAAACGAAAGCCACCATATATGGGCTTGAAGTTTGCACAGGTCCGGACACCATGTGCTTAACAGAAACAGTTGGGGCCATCGGGATTCGAACAGAAGACCTCTCGGTCACAGAAGACTCTGATACCATGTCAAAAACCAATTGATCTCAATAGCTATACCAAAGAGGTTCAATCGTGAATCATATACCGTTTACTAACAAAAACAGGGGCCACATACCTTCTGCGTAGTGATTGCTCTCTGGATGATTCTGGCTTCAAGAGTTCGAGCAATGACGGATCCACCAGAAGGTATAGCTCAATTCATCAAGAATTTCTATGTCATTTGGATGTTATTTATGTTAAATTGAGTTAATCATCAATGTTTAGTATTGGTTACTGTAATTGGGGATAGTTACTTAGTAGAATGATTTGAATCCCTTGTTTGGGCGTCGAGAAAATGTGGGAAAATAGAATGTGTTCTCAAGCTCAGGTTAAGTAAAGCAAGAACGCAAACAATCAGTTTAAGATTCAAGCTCTTTAATATTACTTTTATCACTCCATCAACTCTGTATTGAAGAAACAAGGATTTACTTGAACAATATGGGCTGGTTGAGTGATTTTTAGTTGATTGAATCGATTTGTTCTTCAAATCTCTTACTTTCTTGGTCTTCAGACCCATTGGGTGATTTTGTTTAGCCGTGTTTGATTGAACCGCCTACTCTGTGGCGGATTCCCTAGATGAGATGGAGGGAGGAGAGAAGAATCGACTTTGGTCTGACCTGGTCACGAGTTTGGAAGGGTTGGTTTATGGGTTGAGTTGGAAAAACTGAGGTCGCAGGTTAAGTGACGTGGCGAGTCGGATTTGGTGACGTGGCAGGCTAAAATTGGGTGTGTCAGCACTTCTATTATCCATATCAGCAATTGACTGACAGTGTTAATGGAGAGTAACTAAACGTGAATCATTTTACTAATTCAAGTGACTAAACATGATACTTTTTGATAAACTCGGTGACCAAACTTGTAATTTACCCAAAAAAATAAATCAATGCAAATTCTTTTCTTTGTTTGGTAGAATAATGCAAGTTCTTGGTCTTCATATAACTTGTAAGAGTTGCCTACCAAATTGTCTTTTAGTGCATGCTTATTTGGAAAATAGCAATTTAATCCTCACAAACATATAAAGAGGTTCCTCGGCAGAACCCATATCATTCTACTTTTCCTGTGTTGTGCGCATAGCTAGGAAGGAGTGTTCGGTCTTTTGTTAAACTTAATTAAATTAATTAAATAATGACAAACTTATTACTGGACGGAGTCATTTGACAAAACTTATACCCTCTACATTGTTTTTTATGAATACCCTCTACATATTTCCAGCAAGCATCCGAAACATATTATCAAGTTGTCAACAGGTCTATGTCGTTGGTACAATTGAGTATATGAATTTAGTGTTAATGGTTTGATTAGTTTAATTCAGTTTATCTAGGAATATGAAAATATCATTATATTTTTTATACATTTATAAAATATATCAATCTTATCTAACATACGATTAATAACTTATAAGATTACACCAAAATAATAATTCGTACTTGGGTCTAATATTAGTGAAAAATCAAATACATTAATATAACATTAATATTCGAATGTTCAACTTATAATTTATAAAGATAGGTTTAGGTGAAGGTGGAAAAATGAAAAGAGGCGCTTCACAAATCAAAGGAAAAAACGACGATGTAGGATTTCCAACTCAAGAATCTTGCTACGTGGCTACCCGCATGTGTGTGACACCCATTTTTCACCCCAGATCAAGGACAAAATGAATCAGCCGCAGGTCGATCCAAACAAACTTCCATATTAGTGGAAGAGGTGCTCTCAAACACATAATTCATGTCTATAAATAAAAAGAAAAACATTAAACCGGATCTACTACCTTTTCACTTTTTAGTTAATCAAAATGAATTTGTTCTAATTTAAAAATTAAATTTTTGAATAAGAATCAAATTAAATATACTCTATAAGATGATATTCATGTAAAATATTTTGGATTAAAAAAACCTTGGTTTAGGATACAACCCAATAGTTTTGTAGTTCTACAAAACCTAATCCAATGGTTGTGATTTGGGAAGATAAGATCTAATATTCCATATCATAGAGGGCTATTCTCTGGCGGCTGTTAAGTTCATTTTCAAGTCTCCGACGAAAATTTAACGGACCATAGTGCATTCATTTTATATCGAATTAAAAAAAAATACATAAAAATTCACATTTTTGTGCTCTAAAAAATGATATTCATTTTGATATTTTTGGAGCAAAGTTTTTTCACGTCATCATACCACTATCATATTATGATATTACCATTGAGAGTGGTATGATATCACATTGATATGAAGTTGATATAACAGTGATATAATATTGATATGATGTTGGTATGAGTTCTTATGTTTGATAAAATAATTTGATGACATCTTGCCAATGTCATATCACGATATTATCACTATGATATGGTGATAATATTATGATATGACACTGACATGATTTTGGTATGAGGTCTTATGTTCGACAAAATATAACAAAATAAATATAATTGTGTATAACTTAATTAATGATGGCGGTATGACACTGATATGATGTTGATTTATGATGTATTATGTTTAACAAAATAATTTGATGACATCATTCACTGTCATATCATGATATTATCAGTATGGTATGATGATATTATCACCATAATGATAATATCATGATATGACAATGATACGATGTTAGATCGAGGTCTTATGTTTGACAAAATGGATATCAATGTATAGCTTAAAGAATGCATTATTTCTATATTTTTTTAATTCTGAGTTGAAATGAAGGAGATGGATAATCATATCAATGTTTTATCATAATGATATGATAGATATGACAGTAATAATACTACAATCGACATGTGTTTTGAAGATTTAATTTTTTTTTCTTTGCTCAAAATATATCAAAATGGATATAATTGTGTAGATCATAATTAAAGCATTTTTTTTCTATACAATTTTTTTAAAATTATAAGTTAAAATGAACGTTGTAGGATCCAATTGAGAATTAGGAAAAGTAGACATTGGCTGCCCATCTGTCTTTTCTCTCTCTTCTGGATCCGTGTCAAGCCAAACAAAAAAAAGGTAGCATGTCGGAATTACCAGTCTGCCGCTTTTTTGTTGTTGTTGCAAACTTATCTAAACCATTGGACGGAGGAAAGAAAATAGAAAAAAGAGCAGCGATCATAGCAACATACATGGAAGAAAGAATGCATTGACCAATTCTCAACTATTATACTGAATGTTGCATTTTGGTCCTCTCCCAAATCTATTATGGAAAATGAAGCAATATATACATCTTTTAGAGTCAAACAATATATTAATTGTTAAATTACTGTATGGTACCTGTAATTGACATTCGCGTTATGAAAATCTTGAATTATTATCATATACACACACATTTTTATAATATTGATAAGATGGCTTGGATTGGTTGGACCCCAGTCTAACAATGAATTTCAAACCATTTAATTGACCAGCTCAACAATTTAAACCAGTTTGAGACCTTAATTTGAACCATAGGCTCGCAATGTGTTATAGACACATCCTATCAATTACTTATATTAATAAGAAAATATTAACGGTAACAAATATACCAAGATTATCTAACTTTTAAGAGAATGTGTTAGAAGTAAGGAATTACTAACTAAAATACCATGTCAAGGATGGAACCTTGATGATGTGTCAATTGCTTTGAATTCGGACAAACAAATATTCTCTAGAGATCAAACACTTTCAGTGAGAAATTCAATTATATACTGAGGGTCAATAAGTATTGTTTGAAAGTTATTCCTAATTTTGAGAATAATTAGCTAATGTATATTGTATAAGATAATAAATTTGTGTATCATGATTGAAAAATTGAGGCATAATGTCTTCCATCGACAGTTTACAAATCTCCACGCCGGGAATGAGTCAACACTAAATAATTTTGAAATCATGATATATGCCAAAATATTTCAACATAGGCTTATGAGAGACATAACCAACTTCAATAATTAGGTATTAAACATCTTAACTTAGAAATATATATGGCTTATGACAATGGTCTAAATCATCAATTGATTGTTGACTACAAATATTTAATCGTAGCATGTTACGACATAACAAATCAGTTCGGAGATAAAAAAAAAAGTAAGATACAAGGATAGGTTGATTTTACATAAAATACAATTGGTCCGACCAATAGGCGGTTTTAGGCTTTGAATAAATATACTTCGCAGAGTATTGAAATGCAAGGGAAGAAGCAATTGATAATGCATATAAATGTCTCACTAATAGAGATGAAGACGAGATTATTGGTGGAGAAGATAATGTTGTTCATGACAGAGGAAATGCATAAAAGTAAAAAAGAAAATGTGTATTAATCTCTAACGACGAGGAGTAAAGAGAAGATTTATTTGAGAGCATTAAAATGTTGGAGAACTATGTGATTGTTGATCATTATGAATTGTTGAAGTATTTTAATAGTTTCGATTTTCTTATTCTACCAATCAATTTAATATTTCGAGTATTTTGCTAATTCAGATTTTATTATACTACAAAACAAATGTGTAACTCGCATACAAATTGCTAAACCTTTGCACGCCTCCGTTACCTTTTGGGAGGCCTACGCCCCATAGAAACTGTCTACCTGAGACTGTCCCTTGGCAAAGACTATCCCCACTCGGACCAAGACATAGCTTTTACTTGTTCAAATAACAATGTTGTTTATGTTATTGGCGATGAAATCCGACCAACTGGTCAGGCCCCAACTAGTACTCAATACACGTATTATCAATCAATGTTCTGAACCTACATAATTTGTGCTCTAACTTGTCAATAATAAACATCCACAAATGTAAATATTTATAACATTCTTGTATTGAACCAAAACCTTTAGCTTAACTACTACGATCAGACAACAATTCATGAACCTTCTAATCCTGCAATCCCCACGCAACCTTTGAAAGACTTAGCGAGGATGGCCTCATTCAGATTACGACCTGCAACAACAAAAAACATAATTCTGTTAACATCATCCATGGATTTCTTACAAAGAACTGGGTCGAGTGCAATAAAGGTAGTAGAAAACAACCACCCAGTAATTACCAATGAAAACTATCTTGTTCAGTCTAACTTCTTCGTTCTTCCATTTTCGAGAAGGTACGATCTCGTATATCTCCCTAACCGCCTGCAAAGTGAGTTCAACATCAAACTCTGTCGCAATTTGATTGATGGTTTGGTTTTGAACATGGTGAATATTGCCCTCCTCACAAATACAAGGTCTGACTCAACAGGGAACTATGACAAAGTACGAGACAGTTACCTGCAAAGTATGCAGGTCATCGGAGTTTCGAATGTGTAATATTCCTTTACAACGGTATACATCCATGTCGTCTTTCTTATCCCACAGAATCTCCTCAAGCCACAGCCGAACCTGTAATGATAGGGGAGCATTAAGTTTATGTAGCATGCCATTCTACACCTCAACTTCTGCAGGATACCCAAAAATCCCGAGAAAAAGTGTTCATCAAAATCGTCATGATCCAGCTTTAAATGATTAAGAATTCACCTCCATTTCATTCCCAAACTCGAACACAAGAAATCGTTTCTCAAAATATTAGAATTTATATCAAACAATTTTTCTGGAAATGGATTGCCACAAGAATCGTGACTCTCACGAGGAATCACATTCCAGTTCGAAGGGCATAGGTTCCAAACAGGATGTTAGAAATTGATGAACGGATAACTTTTGTGTATTGATGTTCAGAACCTTGAATCCAGATTTGTCACAGAAAGTTGTCAACGTCATTAGAAGTCTGCATACATTCATATAAACTCTACTGACTGACAAAGATTTGGGAATTCATACCTTCTCCTGATCAACCGACTGTGACTCCGAAATGCATAAAGTGTGCACGCCACTCCCATGCAGGTCTTTGGTTGACAAAGATTTAGTTTCATTCAGTAGTTTTTCTAAGTGCGAAGCCCGCTGATATCAAACAGATCATGGAATATGGTTAGCACCTAACTGAGGATTCACTGAAGATAGAGAAGAATAAAAAGTCAGAAACTGGGCGATAAGCTTAAGTCAATTTACAGCAGTATCATATGCATTGCAGTCCAGTATCTTAGACAAGTCAACATGACACCGAACAGTATGAACGATACTGGCAAGTGAATTGATGTCACGTATTTCCTTCTCGAGTTCATCCAAAGATCCTCCTCCAGTACCTTCTGAAGAAAGCAAATCAACCTTGTTAAGAATGATAACATCCTACAAGAAAGACAACAGCTAATAAGGCTACATAAAACACATTAGGCGCCCAAAATTTTATATAAGTGATAGAAAACAACCGAAACATAATGCTCACAGCTCCTACAATTTCAATGTCCTAAAACAGGTTGACTTGCAAAGTAACTTTGGACTAGCATGGTGGACAATTACTAAACCAAGTTATGATTGAAGTACTCGCCACAAAATTTAGGGAAAGAAAAAAGCAGTGGAGCAATACCGCAAATGCTATCTGATATATAGCTTCGGGAAACGAAGAAGAGTCCTTCTGCTCCTTAAGCTGAAAGCCAAGGTTCTTAGCATCCACTACCTGTCATTACTCAGATAGCAACTTGTCAATTCAAGCTGAAGAAATTGGTAACATGGGATGAGGCAAACTATCTGAATTCAAAATAAACCATCACTTGGTTAGCCCCAATAAGGTGACCATCACAGGCCTTACAGAGCCACAGACAGATACAAGATGGATAATTCCTGGACATTATAATTCCGGAGACGAACTAAACAAAACTAAAAACCTTTCACTGTTGCCAAGAGTGATGGGAACAGTCAGAAAAATGAATCCATAAACCTATATTTCTCAATTGATTGAAGACAAGGGTTAAACAGCTAGAACCTAGAGGAATAAAGGTAGCTCCATTTCAACAAGCAAGAAGTTCTCACACTCCTATCCCTAACTAAACTCAAACCCTGAGAACAATATCATGAGGACATTTTTCCAGAGAGTTTCCTCCTAGAACAGTAATAAGATCAACTGTCTAAACTCTACTACCATGTTTTGTTGGACAACTAGGTTGGTCATGGGAATCAGGGAAATCCAACTACTTGAAACAGAAAAATTTAAGTCTACTTACAGTGATTATAGAGTCAAGCTTCACAGCTGATTCCAACTGATCGTCCAACCAAAGCACAGAGGCAAGAGGAGCAGGATTAGCCAATCCTGTGGTCTCAATCAATATGTGATCAAGTCTGCAAAAACCAGATAGCAAATCCCTCAGCTCTACGAAAAACCATTGATCATCAACAGAATTCACTCACATATTCAGTACAATAGTACTTTCCCAAAAAAATAAAAATTTCCCACCTTTCCTTCATCTCCACAAGTTGCTCCAGTGCCTGTACCAAACTATGCTTCACGGTGCAGCATATACACCCATTGGCCAGCTCAACCCATTCCTCCACCAGAGCCCCTCCATCTCCTTCATTGATCATCGCCCTCTCCACCCCAATCTCTTCACCGAACTCGTTCAGAATCACCGCGATCCTCTTCCCATGTTTAGCGTTCAATATATAATTAACAAGCTGCAGAAAAACACAACCCAGATACCTACAATCAGCATCTTATGGCGCACAGCATGACCCCAGTTATCGCTCCAGAAGCGGGAAGAAGAAGACTTTCAATACAGTGGATTTGCCGGCACCGAGATAACCGGTGATGATGGTGACTCCAACAGAGACAGCGTCGTCCTGAGCTTGTTCTGCTCTGGGGACGTCGACGGTGTAGGTTGCCGGTGAAGCATCGGCGATGTCGATGGCGGCGGGAGGACCGTCTTCCTCGTTCTCCATTTTCAGTGAACAACCAGTTTATGAGTGGAAGCAAAGCTGCTAGAGAAATTTCAGCAGCGGGGATTCGAAGTGCCAAGATGAAGCCTCCATCGGTCGATTGCGATGTGATGTGGAACTATATGTGGGCTGAATGAAGGCACAAGCGACCTGGTTCGGGACGGCGGTGGGCTTGAAATTGGGTTTGTCAGACTGGCTAAGGTATGGGCTTCGAAGATCCCAATAATCGGGTTTCAGGTTTAGGCTTCAAATTCTAATTTTATCTCTAATTTTTTGTTGGATAGAATCTGCACTTAGCTTTATTAAGCGGTAGAACCGGTTACATTATCCAGCTGATCAAGCAAACGCATAGGTGAACGATGAAACCAAATTTTTGCTACATCCGAGTTAGTATCGCAATAAGCCATAATATGTGTCGCTTCATTTGCGCTCCGTTGAATATACTGCCAATCTCATCATCGGCCAGGTTAATCCGTACTTCCCTCTTTCCTCAACACTTTGACAACGCGCCTTAACAGCTCAACCATGCACTTCTGGTAGTTGAATACTTCCAATAAGTCATTCCTGTTGAGTTGAGCGTCTAACATCTCATATTCACCTTTTATGAGTCTAAACGACTTCCTTTCTTCCGACGTTCGAGGATCATAATTCTCTCCATTCTCCCTCACTTGCTCTTTGATGGTGTACTTGAGCATCGTTGCATTCCTCATCGCCAGTGTTCCTCCCCCTACATAGCACATCAATTTTTCAAGCCTCATCTGTCCATACTCCATTCACCTCCTTCCCTTACTTGACCTTGATTGAGGGCACACTAGTCTTACAAATACAAATACAAACACGGCACCAGAGGACTCTCTTCCCCATAAGTTCTTCAATGATCAAGTTAGTTTTGAAACATTGTACAGAGATAATTGTAAGGCCAGTTAGTGAGAGAAATCAATCGTCTTAAATGTGGCTAGAAACTACCTTCCCACTATTTACAGTAGTACTGTAGTAGTGACTCTGACAAAACCCCTTTAGATTCATTGGTCGCAATCATCAAATTCAACGTTCCAACAACAAAGTATTGTTGCTTGATTGCGTATGACTTAAGGACCAGATTCGACCCAAACAAACAGTGATGACATGTTTTCACAGGAGGCTCATGACACCAATGTGCACACAACCTATTATGTCATATAGAAAAGGGTTAATACCTTATTTTGTCTCCAACTATACCTAAACTTTCTACTTTGGCCTGTGATTTCTGAAATTGCTCTCCTGGTCCGAAGCACCGAACTATGCATCATACTTCCTTGCTTGCCCAACGCGGGTTTTGATCGTCAAATTGGAAGGTCAACTCCATTGACCGTTAGCCAAGCGCTAGGTCAATTGCCACGTCAGCGAACCCATAATAAAAAAAACTGGATTTTAAATTTATTAATTTTTTTTGTTTTATAATAAAAAATAATTAAAAAATCTCAATATTTTGTTTTTTGAATTTTTTCTTTAATTATTATTTTTATTATTTGTTTTTTTAATTAAATCCAATTTTTTATTTCGGGTTCACTGACGTGGCAAGTGATTAGGCGCTTAACTCACGGTCAATAGAGTTGACCGTCCAATTTGACGATCAAAACTCGTGTCGGGCTAAGTAAGAAAATATGATGCATAGTTCGGACAAGAGAAACAATTTCAGAAATCTCGCACCATGTTATAAAATTTTGGGTATAGTTCTTTATAAAAAAAAAAAAATTGGGTATAGTTAGAACCAAAATTAAGTTATTAAGAGGATCACGCACCAAAAGACAAAATATTGGCACACAGCTTCCACACAGCACAACAATCAATGGCAAAAATATTGCCCGCAAGGACCAAACCGGGCTACGTAGTATAAACCATTTCCATTAGAAGCATGATGGTGAACTGGTGATATTGATCCCTATTCTTCTTTTTCTCCCTGCCCTTCTGTAAGATGGAATAAACATAAAAGGGGAACAAAACAAAAAAAAAAAAAAAACAGAGCAAAACAAAACAATTTTCAACATACATCATCGAGGCAATCACCACCACCGTCGCCCGCAAGATTCCACCATTTCAGCAACTTCCCTATCACCTTTTTCTCCCTTCTCCTCCAACAGCTGCCGGGTTTGATCAATCAGCCGTCTCTGTTTCTCCCTCTCGTTCCTATAAAGCATCTACACCCAGAACCAGAAATCACATCGACCTCATCCCTTTCTTTCCGCCCCTGTCCCAATCAAACAGAGCAGTTCTAACTTCTGACATATCTATATACTTCAGTGGGAAGGAAGGCAAAGGCGGCATTGGCATTGCTACTACTCCTGCAAGGCTGCAACAATGGCGACGGCCGCTATGACGTTGCTGGCGACTCTGATTGTGGCTATGGAATTGTGGACTGGGTTTTCCCAGCCGCAGAGCATTATTGGCCGGACCAGCTTCCCAAAGGGTTTCACCTTCGGAACTGCATCCGCTGCTTTCCAGGTATTATTAATTTAAACACCATCCTTACTGCTCTGTTTTCTCGTTGTTACTTCTCCTTCTTCCTCTCGAGTAAACCAGTAAATCAAAACTTTCGAATGCCTTTTTCCCCTCCTTCAACCGTCAATTAGCGTATACCCATTTCCCCACTAGTTAATTACCAAAATCTGGCTGCATCTTTTGCAGTTAATTCTTACTGTGGCATATGAACTGCTGACGATCTGGGTCTGACGATTACTGACGCTATTCATTATGTGTGTGCCCAAGTTGTTGTTCTGATTGGTGACACATCTCTAGGCTCACGGGAAAAAGAAATCATTTATAAGCCAGAGAGTCTCAATCTCCCCTTTTTTTCTAGCAGATAATCTTCTGACAGTCGCATAATGTTTTAGTTTAGTATAGTCGGCTGCGGGTTTTTGCTAAAATCTGATCTGTTTCTCATCCAATTTGCTCAATAATTGTTTATATCTAATCCTACTATTACTATATAGAAATTCTCAATCACAACATACTCTATTCAAAATTTCCAACCTTGTGAGAGTTTGTAGGAAGGTCATTTTTTGTCATTTAAACAATTAAAATAAAGCATTTTTAGACTACTAAATCAAATTAATATGTCTATGCCTTATTTATACATGAAGTGGTAGGATTTATTCATTAATAATAGATATGTTCAAATTTTTACAGACTTCTAAATCAAATAAATTTGTCTATACTTATTTATACGTGTAATAGTAGGATTTTTATTCATTAATAATAAATAGGCCAAATATTTTTAGACTTCTAAATCAAATAAATATGTCCACATTATGTATACATGTATTTTTAGGATTTTTATTCATTAACAATCAATATGTCCACTTAAATATTTATAATCTTTAGTTTGGGAACTAAACGTGTGGGATTTTAAAGTTAGTAGCCAATTAAGGCCCTTTAAAAATAAAGGTTTCATATTTGCAAACATCTTAGGACCTGTTCACTTCCATTCTCGTTTCCTGTTTTCTGTTTTCATGTCATAAATTTGGCAACCGAAACGAGAAAACTTGTTTACTTTTAATATGTTTTCTATTCGTTTCCAACTATGAAAACAGTAAGTGGCAACTTCCTGCTGTTTTCGGAAACGACAAAATGTTGTTTTCGCCTGTTTTCAACATCTATTTTCTCAAAAACAGGAAACAGAAATGAAAGTAAACAGGCCTTTAGTTTTACGCTTAAGTAAAATTTCATTGAAATGAAGGTGAAGAAGAAAATTTTGTTTGATGGAGGTATTGAATTAAAAAATAGCGATGGTGAGTACTGAGTAGTGACGTTGTTGAGAATAAGAAATAGACTATTGATGATGGATACTGGATAGAGAGACTTTAGTGATGAATATAAAACTATAATTATTGACAGAGATAATGATACATATGGTGAAGCAATAACAAAGAAGTCCATAAGAAAAATTATAATATAAGAACCTCCGTTGATGAGTTCTATTTTTAATTTTCAGTAAGAACCTCCATTGATGAACCGGTTAGAATATAAGAAAACTCTATGATGCATGTTCCTTTATTTATTTTCCCATTAATTGAATAGTTTAAATATTTTGACTTTTGATATCAATAAAAATATATCTTACTTAGTACAATTACAATTGTTATTTATGTGTTTGAAATAATGTATTCATCCAACATGCATTGTAATTTTATTGATGACCAATCAGAAAATATTATGATGTTTGTTCATTTTTTATTTTTCACTAATTTAATAGTACGTATATTTTTACTTTTGGGATACTGCATCCGGCCAACGGGCCGGGTTTCAATCTAGTTTGAATAATGTGAGTAATTTACAAGTATTATTAAGTTTTTCTTATCACAATATATTTTAATAATATGGATAACTAATGAATGTTATTCGTGTTTATGAACAAAATAATTATAATAAATTTTGATAAGATAAGAGTGTGAGTATTATTTGATATGGAACATAAATTCATGAATATTCATTTACCCGTGGCCCATGGGTAACTGTTAGGTTGGGTTGGTTTTTCTTTTCCAAAATTCAGTAAATAATTTAGTGCTATTGATTTACAAGTACACTTGTTGTGTTGAATTTGGGTTTGGAGAAACTCAATCCAATTCGACGCGTTGTGATCACTGGCCATTTTTATTAGCTAGTTCGGACAAAGCCCAAGTGAATTTGGCTAGTAATTTTTTCTCAAATTGTGCAGTACGAAGGAGCAGTAGAAGTGGAAGGAAGAGGACAGACCATTTGGGACACATATTCTCACACCTTTGGTAAATAATCACCCTCCATTTTTTTTATAGAATCACCCTCCATCATTTATCAAAGAAGATCAGCTACACACTAAGTTCGAATACTGGATTCGACAACATAAGAAGTATCATTAATGCTTATATCGAACATCACCTAACTTTGCAGGCAAAATAATCGATTTTAGCAATGCTGACGTTGCCGTGGACCAGTATCATCGCTTCACTGTAATTAAACCAAAAACCCACATCTATTTAGACTTGTTTTGGATCTCATTACATCATAACAAAATTAAATAGAGAATAATTTGGATTTTGAAAACAGGAGGACATTCAGTTGATGAAGGATATGGGCCTCGACTCCTATCGATTCTCCATTTCTTGGAGTCGCATTTATCCTGGTAAGTGTTTGTATTTAAACCATTATTATTTGTAAATTATTGATTATGTGCTTGTTTGTAAATTACTTAAACCATTTTGCACAGATGGAAATGGGCAAATCAATCAAGGTGGAGTGGACCATTACAACGAGTTCATCGATGCGTTGCTAGCTAATGGAATCCAGCCCTACGTCACATTGTACCACTGGGACCTCCCTCAAGCCTTGTACGACAACTACACTGGATGGTTGGACCCTCAGATCATGTAAATATATAGCTCCCAACCAAACATCATTCGTGTGTGCGTAAAATCGAACTTTAACAATATTTTTCAATGCAAAATTTTGTTCTACAGAAAAGATTATGCGAGGTATGCAGAGACCTGCTTCAAGAAATTCGGGGACAGAGTGAAGCACTGGATCACGTTCAACGAGCCTCACACGTTCACGGTCCAGGGCTACGATTCGGGCCTCCAGGCGCCTGGCCGATGCTCCTTCCGCCTCTGGTGCAAAGAAGGGAACTCGGACGTCGAGCCATACATCGTTGCGCACCACACGATCCTCGCTCATGCCGCTACGGCCGACATCTACCGACGGAGGTACAAGCCAACCCAGAAGGGATCTATTGGGGTATCATTTGATGTTATTTGGTTCGAGCCTGGAACCAACTCGCCGGAAGATGTGGAAGCGGCCCAACGGGCCCAAGATTTTCAGTTGGGCTGGTTTTTGGACCCGATGATGTTGGGAGATTATCCAAGCTCGATGAGGAGCCGGGTCGGGACCCGACTGCCAAAGTTCGCAGATTCTGATGTCTCTCTGGTCAAAGGGTCGTTAGACTTTGTTGGGATTAACCATTATACGACGTATTATGCGAGGAATAGTTCGTGTGGGATCATTAACCTCCTTAATGACACCCTTGTTGACTCTGGAACCACTGCTTTCCGTAAGTAAATATAATATATACGTATTTCACTAATCACTTGAATGTCATTAATCAATAACCGTCTGTTCTTGGTTTGCAGCAATTAAAGATGGGAAACCCATTGGAGACAGGGTGAGTAACATTGCTTTAATTTGACTTCTAGAAGATGAATTTTATCCACCATTCATATGTTCGTGTTGTGTTGCAGGCGAATTCGATATGGTTGTATATAGTACCGGAAGGTATGAGAAAATTAATGAACTATGTCAAGAATAGATATGGAAACCCTCCAGTGTTCATCACCGAAAATGGTATATATGTTCTGGACAATTTTATAGCTCCATCTCACAACTATTCAAATGGTTGAATTTTCTCTTGATAATTGTGAATTTTGGAATGATTTTGTTGGAGCAGGCATGGATGATCCAAACAGCCCGTTCATCCCCCTTCAAGATGCGTTAAAAGATGATAAAAGGATAAATTACCTTAATGACTATCTCACAAACTTATTGGCTTCCATCAAGTAAAGTTCCAACAAAGCAATAGACTTCTTACACAAGTTATAAGTATTTGTGAAAACAATGGCTAATCATGTTGTCCGGTTGCATACAATTGTAGGGAAGATGGATGCAATGTGAAGGGGTATTTTGTGTGGTCTTTGATGGACAATTGGGAATGGTCAGCTGGATACACTTCTAGATTTGGTCTCTACTTTGTAGACTATAAGGACAACTTGAAGAGGTATCCTAAGAACTCTGTGACCTGGCTCAAGAATTTCTTGGGTAATTCTGTTTAGAGTTTTGGACAAGCGTAGTACTACAAACATGAGAGATTTGATCCAACAGATTTCATTGCCTATTTCTTGAGTGGTGGGTTGTAATAAAATAAACTCCAAATATATACTTATAGTTTGTATAAGGAGATGAAGAGAGAAAAAGGAAATGTGGAAAGTTATGTGAATATGTGTGTGTCTTCAGCTATTGTTAATGTGTGCTTTCTGACTTATGAATTTTATAGTTCTAACTTTTAATAAAATCTATAAATTAGTATATTTTTATTGTGAAACTTTTTGTTTTACCACTTACAATCCACCACATGTGTACATTTGTTCGGTTTGAAAATGCTCTGAGCTTTTTCGTCTATGGAAATCGACGAGCATTTGTCGACAATAGAGTTCAACCCCTACAGCGGGCCGTCAAACTCTCAACCTCTAGGATCTGGAACAACGGCATATGGATCAGACAAAACCTCAACTATTGAACACCCCTTGTAGAAATGAAGGGAAACACAAGATCAAGGGCATATGGCCTTGAATCCTTCATTGCTGCCTAGTACGCCTTCTCAAGTGTTACTAGAAATTTAATATGTCAACGTAGTATTTGGGAAGAGCCAAGAAGTCAACACAAGGTAGTTACGTGGACACTATTGGGAGAATGTGATATCATTCCAAAAACTTCATAATGGCTAACCAGCGCTAAATGAGTCAGAGTGTTTCAGAAAGAGATTATGTGGTCCTTGGCAACAAAATCTAGTGGTAAATGCCACGGGACTCAATTTTTTTGACCACTTTCAACAATAACCTTTGCGCTCAATGGAGACCTACTGATGTCATGGAGATTTTGGGCTTAGGCCACGATTTCTTTCTTGTCAAATCAAACAACGAATCAAACTATCTTCATGCTTTTGTCACTACCTGGTGGTACCAACAGTGGTTCTTAAATTTTCGCTTATCGGAAAAACTCCCCAAGTCGAAGGTGGTATGAATGTAATTTCCTGCTCAACCAATCCACTTATACTATAAGAAAGTTCTATTTCGATGGGAAAAATGATTGGAAGATCAATCAAACTTGCCTACCACACCTTGCATAAGAAGTAACCCAAGTTTGCCCGAATAGTCGTGGAGGTCAGTCTATCTAAGCCCATAATTCTCCAGATTTGGCTTGATAGATGCTGACAATATCAGGAGTATGAAATTTTGCTAGTAGTATATTTTGAGTGCGGGAATATTGGTCACACAATGATCTTTTACCCCCCCCCCTCTCCAAACAACTCCCTACAGACAAACGATGGGAGGATGGTGCCGATGTTGGCGTATGCACTAGAGCCGGCAACCAATGTAGTAAAAAATGTGTCTTAAAACACAACAATGCACGTTTTTACGTTTCAGACTAGGCAAAATGCTTCAGTTTCTATAAAAAAAAGTATAGTGTGCAAAAACATTAAAAATGATAAAGAAAGGTAAAGACGTAAAAAAGGTCAAAAACGCATGTCTGATACGTTTCCAGCTAAAGAAGTTTCAACCAATTTCACACCCTCTCTGTCTAGTATTGTCTTCCGACAAGATAGAGATCACAACATCGATCCCTATGTTCAAATTGACCCACAACAATTCTTTAACCATTCCTCAAAGTTTGAGGACGACCCAACGGTTGGTTTCTATGGAATCTTCACCGGAACCAACTGCCCAGCTATAAGAAAATAAGGTTGCACCCTGTCTGAAGAAGCAAAGATCATAACAACGATCCCAACAATATGATTGGATCCCATAAAGCATGAAATGAATCCTTAAAATTTGAGGATGATCCAACAGTGGGTTCTTTTGGAATCCCCTCGTGAACTCACTGCATTGCTGCAAATTGATTTGAGCATGACGTATGACATGTTCAAGAGGGATGAGGATGTGCAACTTAAGTGATTAATATTTACTAATATGCTGATTTCTCGCATTTAATGGATGAAGCCCTTATGAAAAAAAGCCTCGGTAATCTTGTTTAATTTGATATTGAAATAAATTGGTGCTAATTGGGTGTAGTTATTAATCGGATAGACTTTTTTATTTAATGAAGAAGCCTCATTATTCCCTTATTGCATTGTTGACTTAGTTGTACGTTTTCTCCACTATTAAAAGTTTGTCAATTTAGATTATATGCATGAGTAGTGACATTTTTAAATGAGATGGGTATTTGTTGAAGGTTAATCAAATTATACACAAAAACTTATGCTTTTATGTTTTGCTTTTATATTTTTACTCATGTTTCCTCTTCTACATAGAAACGCGCATTTGATTACATTGTCGACAGTAGAGTCGGATGAGAAGGCTAGATATGGGCGGTGGATGCAGGTATCTCACTAATCACGGAGTGGAATCGTGAATATGGAAAAAGGGGCGTTGACCAAAGGTAAGTAGGACAATCTTCGCAATAATGATACTACAAATAGCGGTAAAACATGAACACGAGTGGTGGCAAAAGGAAATTGAGTACAAACAAAAAAACTTCTCAAATTACAAGACTAGGCAACATCAACCAACAAATGGAAAGAAATCCGGGGGACCGAGAAAGACAAGGTGAAGACTATAATAGGTTGTTATGAGTTATGACAACAAGAGTGACAGTTGTCTAGTTAGATAGAGTTTGTAAGTTTATTTGGTTCACTTTTTCCTTTTATGTATTATTGTTTACTTCTCTTCAGAAACTCTATAAAAGAAATATAAATACATTCTTCTCGATTCTAAGTTTTTGCAAGGAAGAAGAAATTGATAGGAAGGAAGTCCCCAAAATTTTATTTTGTTCAAATTGAAGACTGACAATAACTTTATATACACCAACACTTTATAAAAAAAAATTACACCAATTTTCATTAATAAAATCGTGCAAGGAGATTAATAATAAGAAAATCTAATAATTAACCTGACAAAATTATGTTTCATCATGAATGCCACGCAAGGGCGGAGCTACAACAGGGCTCGGGGGGGCCTCGGCCCCCCGAGAATCTTGAAAGTTACGTATAAAATACTCGGGTAATTTACGTATAAATAAAATGAAATGATTAAAATGTTCTAGTATGCATTAATTTGATAAAGCAGCCTTCTAGCGTAGCGGAAAGCAGTTTGTTTTCCTCTCACTAGCTCCTTGGTTCGATTCTCATGCAAAGAAAGTAATTTTTGTCAGCTTTATTCCCTACCTATTTCTTTTAACTACTCCCAGGGAAGCAATACTTTTAGCAGCTTTAAGCATATGTATATACAACAACAATTTCTATTAAATACTCTTAATTATGAAAATATATGTGCAATACAATATCGAAATGTATTGTTAATTATTATTTTATATTGAACTCAATGCTTTAAAAGTTAGTTTACAAAGTGATGTTAATCATTTTAATGAATAATTTTTGACGTTATAATAATATAAAATTAATTTTTTAAAATTTTTATGTCATTTTGTGATAACATACAAAAATATTTCCGGCCCCCCGATCGTCGATTCCTGGCTCCGCCCCTGAATTGCTACGAGTTTTAGAAGTTCGAAACAAAACTAATGTTGATAATAACAGGTCTCCATATAAAATTCATTCATCACACATTCTCACCCTATAAATTCAATAGAGCGAGTTAGTAAAGTCCCTCTTTGCGCCAATTATGATAAAACGCATGTCTTGTCTCTTTGTCAAGGGAAGAGTGACGGAAATGTGTAGCTGAACTTTATTGCATATCAAATGAAGAATTGAGCGAGGGACGATGCTCTGCTCTATAAGTTTGGCTTGCTTTTTTTTTATGGTTAGTGTGATTAATTAATTAATTTATTAAATTTTCGTGTGGGGAAAAATCTCACTGCATTTTGGGGTGGTTTTTGATCGTTAGTTTGTTAGATCTTTATATTCAATTCTTGCTAGTTGACGAAAGAAAAATGAAATCGAAAAACCTTATGTTGTCAAGAGTAAGGCAACGTAGAGAGAGTCTGTTTTCCTTTTTCCATGTATTATATATTTGTGGATGCAAAGAAGCAAAACACTCTCAGATCTTCCCTCATCATTCGGCTGTAGAACCTCTCCCCTTTCCTATTTCTGCCAAACTTTTCCCCTCTACTCTCCATTCTCAACTATTAGCTCTTTGGCTCTCATCTTTGACCCTTATGTTCCCTCTCTCTAGCTCTCTTCCCCCCCCCCCCCCCCCCCCCCTATCTCTCTCGCTTACCCTAAGAAATCATTTACAAGGTAAAGTTTCATCCTTTACTTTTTATGCCGTTGATATAATCTCTCCCTTTTTTCGTATATTGTTTTGGGTGAGGAATGCGTGTTTGCCTGCATATGGGTAGTTTTGTTATGTGATTCAACGATGTGGGTTTGGTTTAGTTTTTCGAGGTAGTTTGTTTGTTGGTGTGATCTTGGCAACATGAATAAAATTTTGGGATAGTGAAGTTGCAGATCTATGACTGATGGGCGGTTGCGTTCATTTAGTATAGATATATTTATTATTGTTCAATATATTTGTTCTTGAATCGTTTGTTAAAATTCTCCAGTTTTACAGTCCTTTCCATATGGTGCCTATTTTATGGGTGATTTCAGTTATCAAGATTCTTATGCTTTTAATCAACTATGAAAATTGATCCCAGAAATTCGATAATTTACGTTGCTAAGTAGATGCAATGGTTTGATCTAATGATACAAATAATAGATCGAGTTGATTAAAAATGGGGTTTGATATATTGGCTTTGATTGCAGGAGATTTCATAGGGTTTATAAAGAATGGTGAAGATATGTTGCATAGGAGCTGGCTATGTCGGCGGCCCAACAATGGCCGTGATAGCACTAAAATGCCCCAAAGTTCAAGTCTCTGTTGTTGACATCTCCACTCCTAGGATCACCGCTTGGAATAGTGAACACCTCCCCATATACGAGCCAGGCCTCGACGATGTGGTCAAACAATGCAGGGGTAAAAACCTCTTCTTCAGCAATGATGTAGAGAAACTTGTCGCCGAGGCTGACATCGTCTTCGTCTCTGTCAACACCCCAACCAAAACTCAAGGCCTTGGTGCCGGCAAAGCTGCCGATCTCACCTACTGGGAGAGCGCCGCTCGCATGATTGCCGATGTATCCAAATCAGACAAGATTGTGGTGGAGAAATCCACAGTTCCCGTGAAAACTGCAGAGGCAATCGAGAGGATTCTGACCCACAACAACAAAGGAATCAACTTCCAAATTCTCTCCAATCCGGAATTCCTCGCTGAGGGAACCGCAATTCAGGACCTCTTCAATCCCGATCGTGTCCTCATTGGTGGTAGAGAGACTCCCGGTGGACAAAAGGCAATTGCAACATTGAGGGATGTGTATGCTCATTGGGTTCCAGTGGAGAAAATCATTTGCACAAATCTATGGTCTGCTGAACTTTCAAAGCTTGCAGCCAATGCCTTCTTAGCACAGAGGATTTCGTCGGTCAATGCCATGTCAGCACTGTGCGAAGCCACTGGTGCAGATGTCACGCAGGTTTCACATGCGGTCGGTAAAGACACAAGAATTGGTCCCAAGTTCTTGAATGCAAGTGTCGGGTTTGGTGGATCGTGTTTCCAAAAAGATATCCTTAACTTGGTCTACATTTGTGAGTGCCATGGACTTGCTGAGGTGGCAAACTACTGGAAACAGGTGATCAAGATTAATGACTACCAGAAGACAAGATTCGTGAACAGGATCGTTTCATCGATGTTCAATACTGTGTCTGGAAAAAAAATTGCAATCCTAGGTTTTGCCTTCAAAAAGGATACCGGAGATACAAGGGAGACGCCAGCAATTGATGTTTGCAAAGGGTTGATTGGTGACAAGGCCAAGATTAGCATTTACGATCCTCAAGTTCAGGAGGAGCAAATTACAAGGGATTTGTCATTGAAGAAGTTTGATTGGGACCATCCAGCTCATCTCCAGCCTATGAACCCAACCTCGGTGAAAGAGGTTACTTGTGTCAGGGATGCTTATGAGGCGACAAAGGGAGCTCATGGGATATGTATTTTGACTGAGTGGGATGCGTTTAAGTCGCTTGATTACCAAAAGATCTTTGATGGAATGGAGAAGCCTGCATTTGTGTTTGATGGACGGAATGTTGTTGATGCTGAGAAATTGAGGAAGATTGGGTTTATTGTTTATGCTATTGGGAAGCCTTTGGATGCTTGGCTGAAGGATATGCCGGCTGTGGCTTAGAAGAACAAGCATAAGAAACACCAAAGATGGAAGGAAGAAGTTTTCAAAGTTCAAACCTTTTTGTCATTCATTTAGTAACATGTTTTTCTCTTTTGTTTTTAATTATGTTTTGAATCATAGCATCTGGGATTAATGTTGCATTACTGCTTACATTGTATTTTGGAGGGTTTATGGACATTATGTTGAGTGTTTGTGGAAACAATATAGTGGTAGTAGAAAATATCATTCAAGATTATATAGTGTTGTTTGTCAACTATTGCTTTGAATAAAATGAGTGGTTCATTATGCTTCAATTTACACATCTTGTTTCTTTATGGATATATTATTGTATTTTTCATGCTCCAAAATGTTAGGAATGATATTGAATTACTCCACATGAGTTTGATTTAAAGATATCCCACCTTGAAGGACTAAAAAGGGGGGGATTTGACACCCTTAATCTGGAACAAGATAACGTTTAAGCAACCTAGTCGGTTTGCAACGTGCAAATCACCTAAAGGGTTGCAACATGAAAACCTAGGGAAAAAGGGTTTGTCACATGCAAAATAAATAAAATTATTATTTTTAAATAAATTATATTTATTCAGAAATTAAAATATCATATTTACTATTTTTTTGTAATTATATTTTTCTCTCTCCCAAGTCTCCATCTCTCGCACTTCTACTCCATGGACGCCTCTCTGCCTTCCTTTGATAGACTTCCTCAAGCCAGATTCCTCCACTCTCCTTCCTACAACCACCGTCCTCCGACCACCTAACAAAAACAGTATCACTAGAAGAAAAATAATACCACTACATGAAAATCAATACAACTACAAAATAAAACTATTACCAATAATAACGAGTAAAATGAAAACAATACCAGTACCCCAAACCAGTTCCAGGGGAAAAAACCCATGAACACTAAACACTAATGCATTTGGGAGAAAGATAAAAATCATTACTACTTAACCATTACCAGTGCGTTTGGGAGAAAGACAAAATATGTACCAACGTTGGGAGGAAGAGCTCAGATATGAGTTTAAAAAAAGACAAAAGTAGTACCACTGTATCCGGGAAAAAGACAAACCAATACAAGTGCGTTTGGAGGGAGGAGCTAGGATATGAGTTTTGGAAAATCCTTAAGGAAACTCAATACAATATTGTTCCTTTCAACAAATGAGTCAGACCATGCTTAACAATTAATAACTTAACTGTTAACTATGTAACCGATCATCACCATCAATAACGATTGACCTTGTCACTATCCAGATAAATTGATTTCAATTTTAAAATGTCTACATAAATAAGAACTTGTAGTTGTGTCTCCATATGATCGGTAAAGGTGGACCGAAGTATCAAACGATCGACCATAGTATCAACGGTCGACCCGTAGGTGTGAAAGTAGCCGATCGACCATTGCCTATTTTTGTCTCATCAGACTTAATCGATTGGTACGTAGTTAACCGCTAACTCGTTGTTACTATCCACTAAACCTCTGGTAACTCGATAGGAGCATTGTTCCTTTATTTACAACTAAGTCACATCATGATTAACGGTTAACGGCTAATCATTAATAGTATAACCAACCATCACCCTTAATAACGGTTGACCTCGTCACTACCCATATCAGCTAATTTCAATTGAAAATGTCTTCAAGAATAAGTTATAGTTGTATTTCAATATGATCGGTAAAGGTCGATCAAGATATCAGAAGACTATTTTTTGCTTGGGTTTAACCTGGAATCCACCCTTATTGTGTTATCCAGATTCATCAGATTAAACAATTCAAATAACTTGTATTGGGAGTTTAACCCAAGTCACCAAAATAAAGTCTAGATGACATTATGAGATGAGTTCAGTACTTGTAGTTTGATGGTACACACAATTTTCTTTATGTTAAGGATCTTAATTGCTGCAGACATTGGATGAATTCAACCAGGAGAAATTCATTTGTCCATCTAGTGATACTAAAGATAAATTTGATGCAATCCTCCATCCCTCTTCCCTCTATAATATATAGCAGTACTTCAAGAGATTTTGAGCATTCCAAATTCCTTGCACTCTCTTTAATTGTAGGTAGAGGTAAATTTGTAAGTTCAACTTATAACTTAAATATCTTCTTATGAGAAAAAATATCATTACAAAGACTTGAACTCGAGTTTTTCAGATTAATAGTCAATATCTCTAACCAATTGGACTACAACAATGTTTATGTATTTTTTGAATTAAAGAGAGAAAATACTGAAATATCTCGAATTAATTAATAATTGATTAATTGTAACTATTTACAAAGTGAACCATCATGATATAACTAGTTTTATGAATCAACTAAGTGAGTTCCTCTAATCACACCATTCTCACCAAGAATCAAATAGTACATTTTGAGTTTATGTATGTCTTACCACTTTGACCTTTATTAGGTTACATGGCTTTGTAGTTTGTAGGAATACAAGGATTGTTTACAAAAGTGCTATACAAAATTTTATTTCAAAACATAAAATTTGACATTTGTGATCTATGGTTTTGTAACGAGACATTTTCAATGCTATAAGTGAATGACCAAAAATCATTGGCTAACAATTTCCCTAATGGTTGACAATTATAAGCATAAAATTGAAAGACTAAATACCATTAACAAATGAGCCAATTATCATTGGCTAAATTTAACAAACAATGGTATGTGTATATAAATTGGAAATTCTATTGTACGCTCGATGGATTGAGGGTTATTGAATCTCCTTAGTTAAATAACATTATCTAGACTATAGATTAATCATGTAACTAAACCCTATTTTATAATTCTCTAAATCCTAATATAGTGCATATGGTATGTTGTATACATCTTGGCGAATCAGAATCATTGATTATGTTCTTAGTATATGTGATATTAGGATTTGTTCTATAGATTTAGGGTATATGATTTAATTATTTAAAACCTAATCTCCCTTTTCAAATTTCCTGCAATGAGAGAGGAATTAGGAAGGACATTTTTGTCTTCACAATTATCTGTATTTTTTATTTATTTACAGAAAAAGATAGACATGTTGAGATTTGAACCATGGTCACTTCAAACAAAGTGAAGGTTTAAAATCAATCAACTATGTAAATTTGTTGTATTTTTTAAATTAAAAATATATACGAAGCTAAAATATGAAATCACAGAACTTTTCAACAGTTAGCTAGCCCAATAAATATTCTGTTAGTACTTATTTGGTATTTTAATACTTTGATTTTGATTTTTTTATTTTAATTATAGTTTAATACATATTTAAAATTTTATCTATCTTATAAATAGACCATAACCATAAATTTGCAACCAAAATATTGTTGGTTAGAATATTTCATATCGAATTATAGTATTGAATATGTAGAAGTGATATAGAATTCTTAAATTATCATTAATTTCCAGAACTATAGTGAAGCAACCATATCTTTGTGCAAACTATAGGGAACTGGTTCTCTGAACATTTTTGTCCGGTTAAATACTAAGTTTTGAAACTCTTCCTAGGGGTGTACGTGAGTCGATTCATTTTGGTTTAGATATTTTAATCACCTAACTCATATACCACGATTTTGAAAACACTAAATACAAACTCAACCAAATAATTTAGAATTTTAACGGTTTGTGTCCTCCATACCAAATGAACCAATTTACATGTCGCTTAACTAAGGACGATCTTACTGTCCAATCCCACCATTCTAATGTCAATCCATAAAAGTAACCCATATTCGCGTTTGTTAACACATGTTTCACATTGTCATTACTGTGACCAGTAACTTCGCTGCAACTGATTCGATATTGCTCATCATATGGCCTCCAAACTGATAAACATATCGGGCCAGCAGTTTTATGACAAAACTCAAAGTGAAGACAACTCATCGTCTGGTGGAATTTTGGCGCTTGTTGTTGTCCATTAATCTAATTGCAAGCATAATGATTGCTAAAATTAAGCTTTCACGCAACACACTGGGAGTTGGGGGTGTGAACTTGGAGTAAAAGTTGATATTGGGTTTGGGAAGGGATTAATGGAAGTGGTGAGAGGAAGAAATAGTGTTTGGATTTGGTAGCAGGTAAAGTTCATGGTTTGGTTCGGTTTCTTTTCGTAAAATGATGTGATTTATTTAGTTAGAGGTATAATATCATGGTTATGTGGGACCAAATGAACCAAAAATGAGCTTGGGGGATAGGAATTCCAACTTAGAAGGAGTGGATTAGATTTTGATAAACTCAAGTTCATGGTTAACTGAAAGAATATTTAGATTTAGACTTTGTGGTATTGAGATGTTCATAGAGAGTTTAAAACTGATCCAAGGCCATGGATTGATATTGGTTAGTTGATTGTGATTTTGAGGAAGGTGTATAAAAAGTCATGGAAGTAGTTTGTAGCAAGTGAAGGCAGTGAAGAGTCAGTTGGTCAGGGTAGTGATTGAACCAAGGAGGGTATTGAAAGACATGAAGCAAAATCGAAACAGTTGAAGAGAGAGAAGTGGTAGATGATCAGGATATTAATGAAAATGGAGAGGGTATTGAAGGACATGAAAGTGAACTGGATCATATGAAGGCAGGCAAGGAGGAGAAGAGCATATTGATGGAATTGAAAATGAGTGTTGGTTTTACGAGCTTATTAAAACTGCCCCGAGGAAGATGAGTTGGACAAATACAAGAAAGAGGATTGAGGAGTTGGAGATCAAGTTGACAAGAAACTCAATTGAAAGAGAAATTCAGGTTCATGGAGAGAAGGTCCATCAAAGTAGCATAAATGGAGTTGCAGAAGGAGGATTAGAAATTGAATTTTGGTTTAAAACACATACGTCGAGAGATTGAAGATGGAGGGAATAAAAAGTTGGTTGTACAAGGAAGAGTGGAAACTATTGGATCTTTAGGTGTTATGGTTGTTGCAACTACCACAACCTATGTTTATGTTAAAACGAGGAATCATTGATTGATTTACTAAATTTAAGGTTGATTCACTATTCAAACTACTGGAACCTGTAGATAAGGAGTGTCTAATTTTGTGCCTCATTACTTTGATCGAGTCTATTAGTATATTGGATGTAACTCTAATTTTATCATTTGCTCTCAAGTTTTGATGGTTTCCTTTTAGTTGAGTTGTTAGCATATGATTTACTTGAATCAACAACTCTTCATTTTTGTTAGTTTTTATAAATCCATTTCTTTTTTATTAGTGACATGTTATTCATAGAGGAGAGATTTGAACCATTTATGTGGGATTGTGAGGTTTCATTTTAGTTTCAAACTATCTATGGATCGTGTGAGAATTCAAATGAGCTTTTATATTATATATTTCTG